GCACTTTTAGGGGGGAAAAAAATAAATAAATAAAGTGGGGGCCGAGGAGAAAATACGCCGTCGGGAAGGTGCGTGAGGAGAAGGGAGCGGGGAGGCGGCGGGCAGCGGGCTGGGGGCAGCCCCGGCCGCAGCCCCGGCAGCGCGGCTCGGGGGGAGGCGGAGGAGGAGGAGGAGAGTAGGAGGAGCCGCCGTGAGCCCCGCACCGCTCCCAAACTTGAAAGTTTATCTGCCCGAAATCAGGAGCGGCCGCGGGGCGCGCAGAGCGGCTCGGAGCGGAGCGGGCGGGGAGAGGCTGCCGGCAGCGCTGAGAGCGGGGCGAGGCGGGGAGGGGGCTGCAGCCCAGCGGTAACGGCGGCACCCGGCCCCAGAGCCGGGAGAGGAGAGATGCTGTGTGCCGGGCGGCGAGGAGCGGCCCATCGGCGCGTCCGCGAGACCGCTGTCATTAGCTAAGAGGACGCGCGAGTGAGCTGGGGAGGGGGTGAGGAGCGTCCCACAAAGTCATTCCGACCTGAGGGAGAGGGACAAAGAAAAAAACTTCCTACCAATGGACAACAGGAAGTGAGCACCACCACCAACGGGGAGCCTCTGCTCGGAGAAAGAAGCTGCAAGACAAAGAAGAAGGAAGGAGAGGTGAAAGACAAAACTGCCCGAGGTCTCCTGTGCGTGCGCTTCCGAGAGGAGAGAACAAAAGTCAGCCGGGAGGGGAGACGCAGAACAGGAGACGGGATGGGAGAGCTACGGAGCAGCACGTGAAAAGCGAAGGGAGCGAAGAGCGGACGAAGCACATCAGAAAAGAAAGAGAGAAGCGTTCACAAAAGTTTCTTCTCCCGGAAAGAAATTACTCACACGCACACAGAAAGCAGATGCCTCGCAGATCAACTTCTGGGGAAAGAGAGACCAGGAGAGACGAGGTGATGTGAAGAAAAAAAAAAAAAAAATCAGGAGGAAAAAAAAAAAAAAAACCCAAAAAACAAAAAAACCGAAGAGAACAGAAGAAAGCAGAGCAAAAGAAACTGAGAGCCGGGGGAAAAGAAAGACAGAAAGGCGAGGATCGTGACCTCCCCCGAGAAGCGAACCTGGCCCATATGTTGTGCACAGCGCGTGCAGCCCAGAGCCCCGCTGCGCGCTGTTTGCGTGCCCCTGCGCCGCGCTCAGTGCCCGTAGCGGGCGACGCTGCCGCGGAGCCGCATCCCCCGGCGGAGCGGTGCGGCTAATTGCGGAGCCTGTCCTTCATTTCCATATGCAGCCCGAGTCCGCTGGAGCCGCGCCAATCCCCGCTCGCCCCCAGCACCATTAATCGCCATGCATTATTCACTAGCCTAATTACGGAGCCCCATGCGCGCTCCGCGCAGCCGCCCCAGCCCGCCGCGCCCGCAGCCCCGCGCCGCTCACAGCCCGCCCGGCTGAGCCCTGCACGCCCGCCCGCTCACTCCGCTTTGGTTGCTTAGCCTCGCTTTTTTTTTTTTTTTTTTTTTTTTTTTTTTGCCTCCTCCTTTTTTTTCTCCCTCCTCTCCTCCTTGGTGGGGTTGGTCGCCTTTTCTGTTGTTGTTTGTTTGGTTTGTTTTGCAAGTCGACTTTTTATTTGCGAACAGTTATTTCCAGCCCCCTCCCCTCGCTCCCAATTCCTCCCCCCCCACCCCGACCCCCCCCCTTTCCACCTCCGCGTCGCTGATGCCTCTGCAAAAAGCAGAGTCAAGACGGCTCAGTTAGCAGCATGTCTCGTCGAAAGCAAGCGAAACCCCAGCATCTCAAATCGGACGAAGAGCTGCAAGCGGAGGTAGTTTCCGAGCACGGTAAGAGCTCCCGGCGCCTCTTTCTCTGTCTCTTTTGTGAGCGCGTTTCGGATGGAGATAGGTGCGTTTACGGTGCTGCTGAGCACGGGAGCGTAATTACTCCGCAGCGGGAGAACGGGAATTCGAGCAGCCGGGGGAAGAGGCGGCGGAACTGAGAAGTTCGCAGTTCAGCCAAGTTTCGGCAGCCCACCCCCTGCCCAAGCGGCCCTCCCCGCGATTCCCCGCCGGCCACCCGAGCGCAGCTCTCACGGCGGGGCTCTCTGCCGGGCCAGGCCCTGCCTCCTTCCCTCTGACCGGGCTCGCAAGAGCGGACACCGGGAGCAGCACCGCCTCCTCCTCTCCTCCGTGCTTCTCTCCCTCTCTGTATTTTTTTTTTATTTTTTTTTTGCACCGGTTTTCCATCCCTCCCCGCCTCCCCCCCGTTCACCCTCCATCTCCCCTGGAGGTTCGGGCCGGAGCCACGCTACCCTAATCCTCCGACACCAAAGTTGGGGCAACCGGGGTCCCGCGGGCCGGGGGATGCGATCTTCCCTAGGTCTCGCCCCCGGGGCAGCCCCGCATCGTTGTCTGCCGAAGGCTCCCTCAACCGGGAGCTGGCGTGGTTTGGGGGAGCCCCTTCCGGGCTTCGAACGGAGGCAGCCCGTGGAGAGCAGACTCGGATATTTCCGAAGAGCCGGAGCGGCTCCTCGCCCCCCCTTCGCGCTGCCTCCCCCCCGCCGCCTCCCGGCTCTGAGCGGTGGGAGGTGACACGGAGTGCCACCGCCGCCACCGGCCCCTGTCGCGCCGGCTGCAGGCGCCGAGGAAGGGCCGTTCGCTCGCCCATCCGCCATTCCTCGCTCCCTCCCCACACGCAGACACGCCACACTCGCTTTATGCATCTGGGCGGCCCGCTCTGCTCGTGAACAAGTGTCTAAAGCGGGTCTGATTCGGGCTGTAATCTCTCCTAATTTCCACCTCGCCGGCCTGTTTGTAGAAAGAGAGCGGCAGTTCGGTTTGGGTTTTTTTTTTTTTTTTTCCCTTTCTTTCTTTTTCTTTCTTTCAATTGAAATAGCCCTAGGCGCTGCAACGTGCGAAGGCATGCCACAGCTTTTCCTCGCTTACCCCGGGCTAAGTTGAGGGCTTCCACTTCAAAGTTTTGCTTTCCTTCTGTGCACGGAAGCTCCCTACCTTCTCGGCTTCGTTCAAAACTAAGTGGGAGCCCCCGTGTTTTCTCCCTTCAGTCTAGGCCCTTGCCTTGATTCGCATTCCCTCCCTTCAAAATGAAAAGAGAAAGAGTCGTTTTCCTGTTCCGAAGCTATAAGTTGCTTTTGGAGGTGAGGAAAGGCAACAAAGTTGGAACCCGAGGAGGATTTAGACTATTGTATCTAAACTTTACCGCCTGGAAGCTTAAGGCAGCGTGAATCCTCTTCATCAGGTTAAAACATCTGTCAGATCGGCAAAGCTTGAAGCTCTCCTCGGGGTGGTTGGGAGCCGGGATGTGTCCCATTCTGTCAGGGCAGTTAGGATGGGGTTGCTGCCACTTCTCCGGGAAAACCCACTGGGTATTGACAATAACCCAGAGAAATGCTTCCTTCTGTCACAGCGGAGCAGCACAGCAGTGCAAATAGGAGTAGGGTTTTTAGGAAGCGTTGGCAACGCGAAATAAATAAGTGCAGGCAAGCAGATGAGAACGGTGATGTTATTAAGGAAAAAGAAAAAAAGAAAAACCAACACAACGATTAGCTGAGCTCAGCCTCTGTTGGGGCGGATTGTAGGTTTGAGAACGTTTCACTAGTATTGCAGACTTTGAAATGCTCCGAACCCACTTCAGTACAGCAAAATAAAACCCCACTACTTCATTAGGGCACTCCTGGCGAGTTAATAAATTGGGGGGAAAAAAATTGTTAAACTGGGTTTTTGTTTTGTTTTGTGAATCTTATCTATGTCCTTGTCACCCGAGATTAGAACAAGAGATATGCTAAAAAGAAACGCTTGCATATGGTGGGTAGATTAAGGACAAAGAATCTTTTTGTCATGGAAATGGTTTTTTTTTTTTTCCTCCTCTTTTTTGGGGGGTTTTGTTTTGTTTACTTCATCACATAGAATTTCTCACACTTGGTTTGTTTTGTATTGCCCTCAATGACTACATGATCAAATGAATGGATTTATTTCTGCCGAATGAGAAAGACAGTCTTTCCATCAAAAGGACTACATTGCATCCCAGTGAGGAATTTTAAAGCGTTATTATTGTGGTCCCTGAATAGCACAAAATCGGCTTTCACAGCAGCCCTAAAATGCAACAATGTAAATACTTTTCAGCCTTAGAAGGCTGTTATCAAATTGCGCTGCGTTTCCTTTTATTAAAACATATTTTAATTAATAGAGTGAAACCCTTCGTAGTTAACGATTAACAGGCTGAAGTGGAGCTGTTGGTTTTTCACTTTCATTTGAGCAAGGTGGACTCAGCACACACGAGCAGAGGGCTATCTAGTGCACATTAATGCAGCGTAAATCATTTACGTGCTGCATTAGGAAGCCTAACGATTGCTATACCGAAAGCAATTTCATAGGCCAGATATAACGAGCGCTCCCAATCTCACAAATTAAAGCACTTCTCGTCAAGTCAGTGTTTCTCATCTCTCTTCGCAGCTGTAATCAAGGTATTGCTAAGGTGCTACAGAGCGGATTTTGCAACGAGCCCAAACCAGCTCCCACAGCACGGGAATATCCGTGGGTTTGTTTAAAAGCAAAGTGCCCGAGCAGCATTATTTGATACATGCAGACCTTTTCATTAATTTGGCTGTTATCTTCAATGTGAGAGGGAGAGGGGGGGGGGTTGGGTTGGGCGGGGGGAGTGGGAAGTTGTTGTTAACACAAGATGAAGCAAATTGGGCTTATTATTTATTTAATGAAATCATGTTTAATACTACCTCGGCATAGACTTGAAAGTGAGGCATTTCAACGTTCCCTCAAGGCAAATCCCTTAGAGCAAAGGGACGTCCCTCCAAGCAGAAAGGAAACCTTGGGGGAGCAGAATTGGGCAGACTGACATTAGGCCGTGCTGTAAGTTGTCTGCACCCACCACAACTTCCCTGCTAACATTACCACGGGAGTTTAAGGACCATAATAAAGAATTTTATAGTGAGCCTGGGCTGCGGCGTGAGAGAACTGCGTTCAAACAGGGCAGTGGCATAATGGTGAGAAATTGTTTGAAATCTGAAGGTAGTCGGGAAACGCCGTCAATTGCAAATTTACACTCGGGATTTTATTGTTGGGAGGGAGGTTTCTAAAATGTATTTTTTAAATTATTTTGAGGGGAAGCGTTCACAGACAACTGGTGATGACATTCAGTACTTAGGCTGTAGAAGAGCGAATGAATGGCATCTGTTAAAGATACACTTTGCTGAATTAGAAGATAGGATGGAAATAATTTAAAAATAGCAGCAGAAGGTTTCAAATGGCTGCCCGTTGTATACGATAATCTTGGTTTCTACAGTAAATGTGAAGCTGTTCTCAGTAAACTGTAACAGCTGGAATTACATTTCTAATACGCTTTCCTAATTCAACAGATTAAATTTGAATCAGAATTATAGATACAGCGCAAAAGTAGGTACAGCGTTTGTATTTTAACATAGGTACAAGAAAAGGTGGTTTTTACGTGCTGAGAAGCACTTCTTAGAGTGCACAAGTGAGTAAGGATGACAACAAATGATGCTTTGGACTTCTTCACGCGAAGTTGCTGCTAGAGATAGGTGAATTGGATACCATAAACCAACTGTGCAATGACAGTTTTCTCACCTGCTTTTTGCAGTCGTTTCTTAAGAGCTGAACCTGCCTGTTGTGGTGGTGGGTTTTTTTTTCCTCCCCTCCTGCTCCTCAGTGCAGTGCTGTGTAAACCAATGGCTCTTTATCACACTGGTTAAGTGGAATTGGACGGCGCAGCTCTGAGTTAGCTGCTAACTGCACTCAGTGTTTTGCTTTGGAATACGTTCACAGACACGCATGCTCTGCTGTGGAAACTGCATCATCCTGTACGGAGCAGCCAGCTTCGTGTGAGTGTGCTCACTGTATCTGCAAATATATTTTGAAAGGACTTTCCTACATGCAAGAATAGAGGTCATTGCGTATCGTTCAGACACTGCTGCCTTGAAAACTTGAGGAGTCGCAAGCAGCCGTCAGGAAACTTGGGTGATTCTTGCAAATGTCTGTTCTGAGGTTCCTGGAAGGAAGATTTAGTTTGTTTGATTTAAAAACAAAGGGGCCGAATGAGTATTGCTATAAACTACATTTAAAACATAAGGGGCCTCTTTGACAAGAAAAGAGAACTGAAACTTCTTTGTATAAATAATTCGGGTATTACGATAGAGATAGCACGAAAGCCAGGTAACATTTGTATTTATATCATTTTTAAACTATTCCAAGTGCTTTGATCGCTGTTATCAATAGGAAAAGACTTGGAATATTAAGGAAGCTACAACAATTAGCCAATTTGCTGGTGTGTGTATAAATGCTGAAAGTAGACCAAAGTGGGTCAGATTTTATCTGGCGCTGCTGATCTTGAGGAATTCTTACCATCTCTCGAGGCAGATATTAGGGCTCCCTTTCTTGGAGTGGGAGGAAGGAAATTTTGAAAGGTATTGGTTTAGGATCTGTGTAATTAAGCTATTAATATGCATACATTTAGCAGCTGATAATTACTTGTCCTTGCCTAAGGAAGAGGAAAAACTACGATTCAATTTTCAGAGTGAAAATACACAAATTAATAAAGAGAATTAGTGCCATTTCTGAAAAATACTTTGGTTCCTAGGAAGATTTTCTTTGAATTTTTCCTTCATTTGATCAGTCGACTGCCCAGCCTGGACAAGCCTATCTGTTGAGTATCCATCAGTCAGGACACGAGTCAGTCACTTTTGCTGTCTATAATAATCCAGGTCTGGCAGGAAATTAAAATAGCTGAGTACTGACACCTTTAGAAAATAAAGCATGCAAAAATCAGTTTGTCTATTACGTGACATTTGTAA